ATTTTTTTTGTGAACGAATTGATTATGATTTAAATTTTTTTTAGAACATTCTTTTTGAATATAATACACGAACACAAATCGAAAAATATAAATTCAAAATCAATGTTAAGTGATAACATTTGTATAACAGTATAAATATTATTGTACATATCAGATTTTTCAAATAAGATATTATTTAGATCATATGATTTAACATAAGGTTGTAAGTATAGATTTCTTTTACAAATAATTTTCAGTGTTACATTCGATAAAAATAGAACGCATAATAAAAACAAAGTTATACATTTTGTTATAGGATTTTAATGATACATCTTACCAATGAAGTACCTTTTTAGTGTATAGTAATGCTAACCATGTAATAATAACGAAATGTCTAAAGCCGGTTTATCGAAAACACGGGGTGACTCACTATTCAAAATATCACTTCAATAAAAAAAAAAAAATATCACCGTGAGAAATATACATACTAGTTGATTGAATTAGTCACCATATTATATCCGTTTTTCTTAAGAAACGTTACTTAATGACAAAACTTCTCAAACTGTGTTAACTATAAGTCATAAACAAATGGATTTCGTTTGTTTATGACCGAAGTTCACACACACATACTATAGCTATTACATCGCATGTAAATAATATATTACCCATCACATTTTATTATGGTTTCGCTGTATCACTGTTAAATTCTTTATTAATTATATAATGTTAAAAACAAAATATATAACGACGATATTATTACTTATACAAATCTCTATCGATGCATGATATTTCAAATAAAATATTAATATTATATACATTTTAGGTAAAAATTGGATTCATGGTGTTTAAATGGTTTATATTATATACTATACTATATAGGTAAAGATTATTAAATTATACACCTCCATTCTTAAATTTTAAATTTGTACCACGACAATGCATTCATTTTATTAGTACCTTTATCTAAATGTATTTGTTTTTTAAAATACATTCAAAATAGGCCCCTCAAATGTATTTTCCTTCATTATTTTTTTATTCTTATTTTTCATGGTTATAGAAAATAAGTTGATTAAACATTTTTTGAGTGGTTGGATTTAATTAATGTATAATTAACTGATTAGCAATTACTTTATATATATTATACGTATAATATATCATGTGTAAACCAAAACTTAATTTAACAACTTATCATGAATCATACAAATTTTCTTCTTATAATTATTCAAATTTTAATGATATCCAAAGTTTATATTTTATAAAATCAAGTCTCGTTTAAAAAATTAATAATTACATTTTATTATTTTAAAATTATAATTATTTAAGATGTATAAAAAGTTTTTATTTACATTAAAAGTTTATTTATTGGCTAGAATAAATTATTAATTATAATTTTAATTTGAAGTATTTAACAGCAGTAAAATATTATCTTACAAATTATTATGATAGAATAAATAAACATTATAAGATTAAGAATAGGTTTTTACATTTTTAATAAGTTTTAATTAAATTTTAAATATACTATGCTAAGTACGTCACACTCATATGATTTCCTTACACGCTTTACACTTACACATACATTAAAACCAATTTAAAACTATTTTCTATGATTTTTGTTTTATTAAGTTAAATTACAAAAAAATTTCTATTATTCAACAAAAATATTAAATTATGGCTTCATAGGAACATCGAATAAAATAACTCTCGTTTATAAAAATTAATAAATAGGTAATAAAAAATGCCATCTACAAATAATAGGAAAGCTTAACTTTAAAATTAACAAAAAAATAAATAAATAAATAAATAAAATACAAGAAATAATAACACATTTAGAACTCTAAACCACTGTAGTATCTAATCTGATTTTATTTTACATTCATCAGCTAATAGCTTAAACGTTAAGTACTAGGTAACCCTATTAATATCGATATATTTAATTGTAACGCTAAAGCTATTAATATTGTATGTATTCTTTAGCTATCATTATGTAATATGTAAACTACATTTTGTGTATTTTATATAATTACGCATTAATATTATCTTATTTATTTTTTAATTTTATTGCGTAAATAGTTTTTATAAGGTGACTAAAATAATTCTTAAAACCAAGATTATATAATATTATATTATAATTTAATTGATATAATTATTATTATTACATTATTCAATATTACAGTTTTTATTTAGATTAAGCAGTGTGCTATATTAAGTAAAAATGTATGTAATATTCATATAAATAAGCAATAGTCAAGTAGAATATAATTCAATTCTCACTCGCTGAATTTCTTTTAACGTTTTCAAAGATTATTCATAGTTTATCAAATTTTTAGAATTTTATTGAAAAAAATTGATCTTTAAAGTATCATTCTAACTTGATCTGTTTAAATAATGGAACTCATTCTTCACAAAAAATATGTAAAGTTTAAAAAATAAATATATGATTATAAATTTAGAGAGGTATATTATTGTTAATTTATTTTTTCCTTGTATAAAAGAGAATATAAGAGTATATATATGTGTATGTATAAGCTATAAATACATTTTTAATTCAATGTAATAGTTATTAAAAACAAAAATAAATTTTTCAAAGATACTTTCTTTAAATATTTTAGTGATGTTTAATACTTAACTTTTAGGATAACCAATGTTCCCTATTTAAAGTTTTGTGCTCAGTAAATTTGTTTAATACTTACAAAATTTAATTGGTGTAGTATTATATTCAGCTGCAATACTAAATTTTATTTTCGAAATAGAAACATTTAATTTTGATTGCATGTTAAAATAGAGTATAGATTATTTTTATGAACTAATTAGGATATCACAATCGGTTTACGGTTAACAAGCTATATTAGTACAAAGTTTTCGAGTGAAGGATATAAAGATATTAAAACTTTAAATAAATATCTAGACAAAAGAATAGTTTTACCTTCCTATACCTTATAAGAAATTACTTTCCATTTTATTAATTTAAAATAAAAATACGTATTTCCAAGACGTTTATAAAAAACTGAATTTAATTTTTAATTTTTTCATCAGTCATGGTACTTTTTATGATTATTTTATATACTAAATATAATTACAATTTAAAATTACATTATCGAGTTTGTTAAAATTGTTATTAAATTTTAGTTAACTTACTGATTGTATTGCTGTTGACGCGTTAAATAGATTTTTAAGCGGCTATATAATTTTAAATTAAGCTATAGCAATTTTATATTATTGTCTGTTAATATTTTTCAATAATCTGCCCATTGTAACTTCAAAGTCACGAGTGTAATATTATTTATACGTAAATGGTTCACTAAAACATAGTATCTAAATAACCTGAAAAGTAGTAGGTTTATAACCTACTATACTTACACTTGATTATCATAAATCGATGATCATTTTTAGTTGATGTGTATTCAGATTTCATAAGTATTTAAGTATATGTATAGTAATAATAGATAATAGATAGATATATTAATCATTTCAAGTAACTATTTAATTTTTATTTAAAAATGCTCCTTGATATCGTATTTTACTAATTTTATTATTTGTAGAAATGGCATGTCTTTGTGTTAGTTTGTGAATTTATGGGCGATGGTCTGATCTACGGTAAATCAAACTTTATAGTTTTAAAACAATTTATGGCTTATGATTTTTATAAAGATGTAACTTTGGCCTTATTTTCAATGTTTCAAAACTATATTTTTGCTATAAACTGATATTTAATATGCAGAAAGAGATTGAAAACTTTTTCTTAAAATGTCTAATTCAACTTTTTATACATTTTAATTGATTCAGTTACTCTTTAAATTAAAATTGTTTTGAATTAAAATAATTTTATTTTGATATAGAATCAATCATAATTTATAAATATATTATACATGTTTTTAATATTATGTTAACGAATATTTTGCTACTTAAGATTTTTAAAAATAGTTTTTATTATCAAATATCTAATACTTTATACTGTAATGCATTATTATACATCAAATTCGTATCTATAATGATTTAACTCAATAAATAGATCGTGTTTAGTAAATTGGTGGTTTAAATGTTGACATTACTATGCTTTTAAATATTTTTCTTATTTTTGATTTCCATTGTTTGTATAGCTTAAAGTTATAAATATTACTATTAAGTTTTAAGCTATTTAATTACCAAGTAGTTGAGTGAGTATAGAATTTCCGTGACACAGTTTATAGTATTTATTGGTCAGAATAATTTTCGGAATCATTGGTCTCTATTTAACTGGTATGCAAGTTTACTTACACTATACAGCATGTGTACTCCATAGCATTTATGATTTTATGAACTAGTAGTTATATATTTATTATGTTTTATTAAATTAAGCATGATTTTAATTATTATAATTTTATGTTAACTATTAATTTTAGGGTTTTTTTGTTTTATCAAAATATTAATCTTAGTATTGGTTATATAGTAACCTTTAATTTGTAGGAATATGATAGAGAATATTGTGCATTCATAAGATTATCTACAACTAATAATATAAAGCTATTCAAATTAATGAATAACTAAAATAAAATTGCAAAACTTCTTTCCATAAGACTTATTTGAATAAATAATTAACAAAACAGTTATTATGAATAGATGCCATAAAATTATTTAAAATACAATAAACAATGATTGTAGAAATAATCAAAACAAACTGGAATTATAAAAAAAATAAATGCATTATTTTATGTATTGAAAACCGAAATTTGCTCTTTTTCACTCCTCACTACCAGTCAATATTTACTAAACTGCGAGGATAAAGTTCTAGATGAATTTTTAAACATAGATTGTAGCCGAGAATTCAAGTATATAGTTCATAGGATTCAGACGTAAAATAGTAATTCAATTTTTTTATAGTACCTTTAATTGCATTTTTGCAAAAAAAAAAAAATGTTTCACTTAAAGATATTTTAGAGGCGCCGTTTGAAAAATATAACAGGAGAGATTTTTTTCTTGTTTATCACTATATACGAATATAATATAATATCAGTAATGTTGATTTTTTTATTTTTTTATTTAAGGCACATCAGGTGGCAGGCGACAATACTGTCCATGGTGCAAACGAGCGTCTGGCGCACTGCCGTTACCGCCGTCTTCGTCAGTATCGTCTTCATCGTCGTCATCGTCGTCTTCGTCGTCGTCGTCATCATCGTCGTCTGCGACTTCCGGTATCAACCGGCACCACCATCGGCGGAAGCACCGTCCGCGCGGCCGCCGGCACTACGACAGCGCCGCTAGGTCTAGCCTAGACAAACAGCGGATAGAAGCGATCAAAGAACAAATACTGTCAAAGCTGGGCATGACCGCAAAACCAAATATTACCAAGGCGCGATCGACGAGGTTCCTCGTGGAGGCGCTGGCCGTCGAACCGCTGTCCGGACTCACTGCCGCTGACTCGGATGTCGCCGCCGCCGGAACCGGAAATACACTGCCACCGAGCACACGGTTACCGACTACCAGAGACGCCGATTCGGAGCCGGACGATTTTTACGGCCGCACCAGAGAGATAATTGGATTCGCGGAACCAGGTGAGTGCCTCAAAACGTGTGTATAATATTTTAAAATTACGTATAACAGTCGTAATTAGGCATTTATCGTCCACGCGCCTTTATACTGTCTGTGTATTACAATACTGTAAACACCGAACCGAATCCCAACGCATAAAAATGTAGCACTCTCGAGCCGTAGGGTCAAAGCATTTCTCCTGGACGACTATATTATTCAAGAAAATAGTATGTGGCTGCAATAGCTGCATTATACGCGTGTATTAGTTGCATGTAAATATAGTTAACTGCATCTACTCGTTCTTAAATCACGTCGTTTAGATGTCTTCGAACTCGTTAATATGTCGGTAGACGCATAAAAATTGTAAATATCCTCATAATAAAAAAATAATAATAATAATAATAATAATAATAACAACAATATCAAATAAAAAAAATAATTATGCGTTCAACCAGTTCATACGGTAATTGTATATGCACACCGTTTTCCGTTTGTCGCGCTTGTATTTTAATAATAATTACACTATGTTTTACATTTTAAGCGCCTGCTTAGTAGAGTAATAATAATAATAATAGTTTATTTTTATTGTATTTTCTTCAATTTGATTTATTCGAAACACCATGTAATAGCATAGCCCCCTGGCCATACAAGTCATTGGCTTCTGGCCTGCGACCCGTGCATAGTAATATTATAATGTACAGGTAGCAGGTATGTTCATCGAAGAGTAAAAATCACCTGATCGAAAAAAAAAAATATGAAAATAAATGAATACCTATTAGGTGCAACGCATTAGCTAGATATCACGAGCCAATGACTTTAGAAAAAATATAACAATTGTTTCAATAGCATTTTGAAATACCACTATTTTACGTCAGGACGATAACTCATACGTGTAATTCCGCTATGCATTCTGTATATTTAGTATTTACTAAAATTAATTTAACTTTGACTTTAGTAGAAATATTTCTAAGCTAGTTTTGATTTAATTTAAAAATGGGTCAGGTTAGACGGAACAAGTTTGAGAAAAATAACAGTATTTTTGGTTGAATAGTGTTACACATTATTATAGACAAATTACTCTACATAAGTCTTTCGTTTCATTTAATTCTCAATTACTTATTTTAAAACCAAGGATAGTATAGTACTTTTCACTTGCATTATATTTTCAATCTATACATATTATTATGTGGACAATATTCGTCTAACAAAATGTTCTGTAAAACGTATAGTTTATGCAACAAATCAATATTTACTTCACAAGTAAAATTTTTTTTAGAACACAATTTAAAGTATACAATTATGGAAATTATTGCATAATTTATAACATAACTAATGTATCTAAACATCAAACATTTTTAACTACATATGTATGTATATTAAAATAAAGCAAATCTCTACATCGGTCACATAAATAAATTATAAATACAAGAATTTTATTGAAAAAGTTAAATACTAACGATAATGCATAAATTATGGTTTTATTCTACATTTATGCATATATTCGTTTATAAGCATAAATCATACAATAAATGGGTAGGTGTACCCATTCCTACTATGTGAAGTAGAAAATTTGAGAATTCCTGGGTGAAAGTCAAAATAATATTATATTATACTGGCCTCCACTTTTACGACGTTATAAATTACGCAATTGTTAACACTTTTGGATTAAATTTAAAAAAATGTAGAAGTTTTTTTTTATCATTTTACGTTGTGTTGACATTATAGTAGTTGCTTAAACTTTTTAAATAAAAATCAATTTTTAAATTGAAACATTGAAGTTCTCAGAACTTTTTGTATAAAAATTGAATTTGTGATTTTTTCATATTTGTAAAAAATGTAAAAATCATTGAATGATATAAAATAGATGACGCTGTTATTTGCAAATGTCACGAATAACGTCATTTTGCATATTATTATATTGACGAAAAGATATTATATAGAAATGAGTGTTTAGGCATTTTTCCATCTACAGAAAATGATTCTGAGAATATTATCATGACTCGTGAGCATTCTAGAGATGTTTATAGTACGTAATAAACATCAAAATGGAAAAGTTTTCATTGAACAAATAGTAAAAACAATCGGAGCGTATATAAATGTATGTATAAATTATATTTTGCCCTTCTGTAGGATTTGCGTTTTATCGTTAACTCGTGCGAGTTACACAGCCTGCCTAAGGTACGTGATAAAACAATGTCTATAACATAATATAGAGTGATGATGGATCGATGTGCGGCAGCCTACCAGTACACAATGACACGATGAATAGCGAGCAATTATTGTTTAATACGTAATATAATGAATCTATACAATTTGAACGAACACAGTTTGCTTAGCAAATTTTCACCATCAACATATGCAAATAATTTAACTTACAACAATTTGTCTGCTACAACTATTTTATATTTGATGGCATACGATTATAATACGAGTATATATAATGTATCATATTATGATTTATGATATTAATACATGATCGGCTTGCTGCTATATTATGAAATATTCATGATAATTTATATGAACTTTAATAACGGTTTTAAAAATAATATATAATTTCAATCTGTTTACAAGATAATTATTGACAAGGATTGAAGTGGAGCGAGTATTTTGATTTGAGATTTATCGCATGAATAATTTTACACATATATATCCAATTACCATCAATGCTATCATAGTAATCAGTAAATACAATATAATCCACTTATATAATTGATTGAAAATTAATAAACACACTGGTGTTAATTGATTATTATTGTAAAAAACAATTTTGTAAATTGACATCAAGACATTTATGTATAAAGATTAATGTTTTAGTGATAACATAATGTACCTATTTATATAGTTCAAGAAATAAAACTGAAACTATACTAAGTTCTGTCAGCGAGATTACACGTACATATTTACATGGCGTATAAACACACCTACACAAATTAACTTGAGATATTTTTAAAACAAAATTATACTTTTTTTTTAATGATCGTTTCAGTGAATATTCACAAACATCTATCGCATGCCATGTAATATATCTACCTTTATTTATCGACAACGACGGTTTAAAACCCGTTGGTTATTAGACACACGATATATTTATTTAACAATATAAACAGAAGTATTACGGCAAGATCAAAATGTGGATAAATCGGTTTCCTGGATTATAGAAAAAAAATATAACGGTAGGGAGTAAAAATTTACAGAGCAAAACGTAACATAGATATCTATAGGAAACATAATATTTGCAGATAACCATGTAAGCAATTATGGATGTTCTCCAGTATGAGCACTTAATTTAGTTACTCTGAGATTAGTATTTAAATAATATGCATTGATTATTATTTATCATGTACGTTGGAATGTTGTATACATTAAAATAATAATAATATTGTGATGGTTTTAAACAATTATGACGATAAAAGTGATTATTTTTTAATTATCTGAGCTGTATATAAAATTATGTATCGAAGTTTTTAAGTATCAGATAATATTTACTACCTATTTTAAATTGTTTCCCGCATTTTATTACGCTTAATTATTTTTAATTAATATAATACTACTCATTTTCATTTGTAAAAAAAAGCTATTAATTATTACAATTTCATAATGTTTAATAACAGTTTTTAAATCTAAAAGTTTTTATTTTTAAAGTAACTTAGAGTGATTCAAGAGGTCGATTATGGCCAAGCTATAGGTATTTGTATTTTATGCAAAATTCTGAAATGATATTCTCGAATTATAAGTTTATACATATAAATATATCATAGGTCGTTAATAAATATATTATAGGAATACCACAAGTATTGGTTCAACGTGTTGCTTAATGTACCTGAACTATCTTTCAATGAAGCTTTGTATATATGTATAAGCTACAGTTTGTGGTTCGATATTTTATTTTACAATAAAACTTTAATTTTGAAATCGTCACCAAGTTCAAAATCAGAAAATTCTTTACATAGATAAAATGACGAAAATAATTTAATAAGGAATCGTGTATAAGGGCCTTTAATTTTTTCCCCATACTGTAAGAAATATGGGCGTTTATTTATTATTTATTTGCACTACAGGTTGAAGCCCAAAGTATAAGTGTATGATGTACATGATTCATAAGTCATTTAAATAACAAGGAATAATTTATTTTATTTTTAACAAAAAGTTAAGTGTTACAGAAAAATTAAATTGGATAAATAAATAAAAATTATTATTTTTTTAATACATTTTGTATTAGAACGCCGATATCTTTTTGTTGAAACTTCTATTTTATTCTGATCACCAAAAAAAAATTGACTGTTTTTTTTTTTTTTTTTTTTTAATACATCATCCTGAGCTTCATATACCCACCATACCCACAACACTAAATTCAAATAAAAAGTCGTTTTCGTATCTTTAAATACTTTTTTAATGCAAAATTAAAAATTAAATAATTATAACATTTTTTTAAAACCAATTTGAATGTACGGCTTCTCAAAAAAATCAAACCGAATAAAAAAAATACAAATAATACAAAATTCATGAAAATTGTGGTTGACTGGGAGATATTATATAACTTTTATGACCACATAGAAAAGTATTGAACCTATTAATAAACAAAATTAGTTAATGCATATATAATTATCAACCAAAATATTATGACATATATACAGGTACTGAACAAATGAACTATATGTACAACATTATAAAAGTCATAGAATATTTCCGTATATTAAATGGCAGTCAATACTATGAGAACTCTATATTGTATGCAGTCAATAAAATAAATAGCTAGATGCGTGTAAATAATTTCGGCACAGCTTTGTTCGAAATTCTATTGCAAGAATCAAGATTTCGAATGGACAACTGCGTACCCATTTTAACTACAATGGCGGTTAAATTACCGCTCACACGTTATTGGCAAAAAAAAAAAAAAAAAATAAATAAATAAAATAAAATAAATTTAAAAATATTTTAATTAAAAACAATTTCCCTTTGGTAACCGCTAGTTGAATTTGACGTTGGCAAACGATATATATTGCGTCTTGCCAGGTGCGCGAGA